AGATTAAGTGACTGCTGTTGGTGTTCTTTGGGCCCTAGAGTTAGAGTTCCTCAACTGCGATATCACTATCACCCAACGTCGGTTGTAGACAACTTCGCCACCGTCTGGCTCTATACCACGTACATCCTATGGATGTTTATGGCCGATTCCGATGAGTCCTGTTGACTATGGCTTTTACCGTCATCTTTTGATTAATATAAAAGTATAAAAACGGAAAAAAGATTTTATCGAACCTAAAATATTCATTAATGGGAACCGTGATGTTTATACGAGGGCTGAGCAGAACGTTTCCAGATGCAAAAGACGTTTTATTTCTTACACAAAAATGAGCGTTACATTTTCTCGAAGTATTCTTTACCAGCCTTTATGCACAGTTCTTTGCCCCCAAGCCATTTGGTGAAACGCTCGACCATGCCCAAGTGGGTCAACCTTCGATCAGTTAAATAAAGGTCTCCAGTGTAACTATTGGTGACTCGTATCGGATTCCACGCCTTCCATGCTTGAATTATGCAAAACAATCAAACGAAATGCTTCTAGAGGGAGCGTCATGACCAAAGGCAGCTCGCGAATGATCAACACTCTGCTGCTGCTTTAAACCCCATCTGTAGTTGAAGGAATTCATTGCCCTCCAGTGACCTCGATTGAGTTCCATCCTCACAGTCCGATTTTAGTGACCCTTATGACTTGTGAGCTGTGCTCAGCTGTTGATATCTGGTCTGGGAGTTGCAACCACCGAGCAATATTCATAATAGATAACGTTTCACGTTTTCCTTGCGGATTCGTCTAAATCTCGTACTTGTACTGTGTATCCGGAAATGTTTGCTCAACCCTCGTATTAATTCGTGGTCACTGTGGAGAATAAATATGTTTCCCAGTGGCGTTATGAGCCTGATTACTAATCTAGATAAATCGTACTTCAAAGCATCTATACTATGGTTCGTTTGCTGCAAAGGGGGGTTTGGATTGGATGTATGCATGTCTACCAGTTATCAATAATCCCATGATTTAGATTATATTTGCTTGTCGTAAATCCAAAATCCCCGGAATGGAAATCCAATGTTTTGCACTTATCTCACTCGAATAAAGCGTAACGCAACAAGCTACAGCGGGTTCGGATAAAGGTGATTAGATGGTCTCTTTCCTTTCTCATTCTCCAGCGGACAGCATGCATC